AAAAGTGATTTTATGTCCATAGAAAGCACATTAAATGTAAGTAAAGTGTCTACTTTTAAGGTTTCAAATACGTTTTTGGAGAATAAAATGTTAAAATTTGGTTGAAATAATGTTACGTTGTCAGTCGGTGTAACACAATATTTATGTAAAAATTCAAACAACATGCTTATTCTGACTATTATTAAAATATATAAAAGAATAAGGGAACAATTTAAAATTTGTTTTAAATTAGTAAAAATTCTTACTGACAAATGGGCAAAACCTAGGATAGTGGCAAATTTTACAAATGTAAAATTAAACCTAATTAGTATTTGGGGTGAAAGTAATTAGTCTTTTAATATGTCATAAAACTTAAAAAAATTAAAAATACACGAGTTTTACCATTTATATAATTAATGTTTTAGTTTATTAACTATATTTATTTTTTCTACTACTGCCATCTCTTTAAAACTCTTTTAGTTCAGCATTAAGGTGTATTTTGTTTATTAAATATAAATATATGTCTATATTTGAGTATATATTATTTTTATCATATATTTCTAAATCATTTTTGGGAATTTTATAATAAAAAACAGTAAATTAATAATTTTTAATGTATTAATTAGATGTATTAAAAGAAATAAATCACAATAAAACACTATATATATAATTGTGTGTGCCCGCAAATACATATATTTGATTACATTTTTGGTTAAATATAAAAACATATTTAAAATGTAAAAAATGAATCCTTAAAAATTTTCATCAGAATTTATTATATATTAAACAATTATAAAATGTTATTTCTAAAAAAAATGTATATGTTATATAAAAAAAAATATTTTATATAATGTATAAAAGCTATTAAAAAATAAAAAAATATACTAATATAATAAAAGTTTTGAATTTATTAATTAGATTTATTAAAAATGACATCTACTGGCATCTATAGACTCTCTTAGTTCAGCAGTAAGGAAGCACAGAATTGTTCTTATATTGGTTCCAGGACTAATAGGGGACATTTTGATTTAAAAATCTCTCCCAACAGGAACGCTGCTGACCACCCCCCAGCACACTCAGATCGGAGCACACCCCGTCACCGTGCCAACGTACCGACCCCAAGGAACACCTGGGTACAGCTACGTGCCACCTCACTGGTAGAGCCCACCTGCCAATCATGTGAGATCCCGCCCACAGGACTCATTCCACCCAGTGCAGAGCAATCGCTGACTACTTCTCGTTTTCTCTCTCTCTCCTTCACAGATCTGGAGTCAAACATTGTATGCAACTACTCAAATCTTACATCGGCGCTCTGTGCTCAACAGTGAGGCGCCACGTCTGTTTGCAAGAACAAAAAGAGAAAAAAAGTGCAAGGGCCACTTTATGCATTCTTACGTGTTTTTGTAAAAGCTGCTTTTTATCTTTTTATTTAATTTTGATTTTTTTTTTTCTCTCTTTTTTTTTGGGGGGGGGGGGGGGGGGGAATGATGTTCTTGCATTAGGTTATTTTAATTCTTCATTGTTCCATAGTTATTCTATAAGAACTCCAGAATGATTTCGACCAATCACGACCCGTCTTTGTGTTCAGTATAAACGCTGGTGTGTAGGAATATCAGCACCACTCGGATTATAATCATCCACTTACGCTGCCAAATTGTATAACCTTTAGATATTAGCACAGGGTTGGTTTTCTTTTATTTATTTACAGCAGAGTTTCATTTCAATCTTCCCAAAGCGCTTGGGAATCGTTTAAAGAAATTTCATTTCTCCCTCATTTCGTTCTGTCATCGATAACAAGGGTGTCTTCCAGCTTGTAGCTGTTCATGTAGATTTGTAAGGAATATATCATTAGTAGGGCAGTGCAAACGTGGTTTAACCTTCATTAGGATATCGAGTACATACAGTAATCTTAGTTATTCACTAAATAGAGAACGTTTGAGTGAGCCGGTTACTTTATTAGCTTATGTGTCAGGATAGCGTAAGCTTCGAAACTATAACGTGTATATGCGATTTATAAAAATGTGCGTGCAGGGGTGCTCTCGCGGCATGCGCTCACGGTGAATATTGAGGGGAAAAAAATCTAGCAGTGGCACTTAGCTGGAGCCTCTGGGTGCGATGTCGTCCCGCGGGCATCGAAACGTGTGCCAACTTTGAGGCCAGACAGAACAGACGCTACTCTGACGGAACGATTAGGATCGCATCCGATTCAAAGGGACTTTGCAGCATCGTAGATAGCACTAAAAGCAACAAAAAAAAAACACACAAGGGAGGGATGGCGTTCCCGCATTCATTTCCAATCAGCTCCGGCTCTAGAGTGGGTCTGACCCCTGGTCCTCTGTGAATAGTTGCACAGATTTTAGGCGTAGAAACGGAGTTGTTCAATGCAATAATACGAACGGCCTGCTTGAATGGCGTTTAATTGTAATTTACAGCATTTGTAGAGAGATAAAGAGAGAATTTTGATTTCCTGTCCCGAGGCCTCGCCTGTATCCATGAATAGTGTACTCAGAAGTGACATATCAAGTATTCTATGAAATGTTGTTATCATACCCAAGCATTGCACATTGACAAATAGACGTAACTTAATAACCAATTATACGGTACACTCTCATATTTAATGATGTAATTAAGAAAATCAAGCATTTACTCTGCAAACCATTAGTCTTGGTCATGTCTCTGGAAGTAATATTATTGTCAGTACAGAACAGTATCACTCTTTTCGTTGTTTTGTTGGCTAAGCGACCACCATTGCGATATATAGTACACTCAAAGTGGGAAGAAGCGATTCTCTGATCTTATGTGAAAGTCATAACGTCTAGTAATGCATGTGTCATGCGGGTGAATGCAGTATAGTGTAATCAGATGGAAACTAAGCACTTGCAAGCATGGTTGCATCATGTTGAATTGCAGCTTATGGATTGCTTTTAATAATACATTTACATTACAGCACATTCTCTTAGTAAAGAGTAAAGAGCGCAGAGTTACTCATGAATCTCATGGAATATATATATAATCCCATAAATTAAGTGAAGCCTGTTTTTTTTTGTTTTTTTTTTTTTGCTTTATTTTCTGAATAATTAAGCAAATTTTTCCACAAATTATCATTACTGTAAAACATCCTGTAGTTTTTTTAATGGTTATTTGTATGACTCTAAATAGTGATTCTTTTTAGATACATTTACATCAACAGAGGCAGTACAACAAATATTACCATGATTCATGGATAATTTGTCTAAATTTCAAGAGGAAATTGTCATGAAAATAATAATAAAATCTAATATAATCATTTAAAAATCCTAAAATAGGCTTCATTTTCTTTATGCAAAAAAAAAAATATATATATATATATATATATATATTAGTGCTGTCAAACGATTAATCGTGATTAATCGTTAAATATTTATATATAACATAAATAATATGAATATAAATATATACATGTCAATATTTTCGAAATATATACTGTATGTGTGTGTATTTATATACATAATAAATGTACACAGTACCCACACATATATTATGTAAACAAAAATGTTTATTTTGGATGCGATTTCCTCAAAAGTATTAATTTCTTTAAAAAAATAAAATAGACCTTACTGACCCCAAACTTTTGAATGGGAGCATATAATCTGAATATAAAGATATATATAAAATATAATTCTATTCTTTATAATGAAAGCTTTCTATTTCAGATAAATGCTGTTCTTTTGAACTTTCTATTCATCAAAAGAATCCTGAAAAGAAATCAAAACAATTGGAGGAAAGTGTTTTCAAGATCAGCAAACCAGTTTTGAAGAACTTGTAAAATGATTTCGATGAAACCATTAGTCTGAAAAGCTGAACAGCTGCTGTCAACAAAAATAACTTGAATAATTCTCAATGGGATAGTTCTTGGGATAAAACCAAAATAACGACTTTATTCAACAATTCTCCTCCAAATCATCATTATCGAGAGTACACATGGACTGTTTTACTGATGAACATGGGAACATTTGCATTGCTGTCTGGTCAGAGAGCTCTCAGATTTCATCAAAAATATCTTCATTTGTGTTCCGAAAATGAACAAAGGTCTTACAGGTTTGGGATGACATCAGGCCGAGTAATTAATGGTTTTTCATTTTTGGGTGAACTATCCCTTTAAATCTTTAATCATTTCACTTTACTTCACTCATATTTTAGAAGCAGACACCAGACATTGTTTTGCAACAAACCCTGAAATGTGAATGAATCTCTTCAAGCTGTTCAAGTGTCAGCAGGTCATTTTTTTTCTTCTGCATTTGGAAACGGTGGATGTACTCGTTCCAGCACGTATGGAGTCATGTTTCCTACATTCCCAAAGACTTTCAGTGGCAGCGGAGACCAGGATCAGATGTAACATCTACAGTTTTGTACAGCTCACAGACTAATGTACATGCAACCTTTTCATAAGAAACATTTACACATGCCGAAAAATAATAATGGTGCCATTCATTGTTTACACTGAGAAAGACAAGATTATAATATTTAATTTGTTGCTGTCTGGTCAGAGAGCTCTCAGATTTAATCAAAAATATCTTCATTTGTGTTCCGAAAATGAACAAAGGTCTTACAGGTTTGGGATGACATCAGGCCGAGTAATTAATGGTTTTTCATTTTTGGGTGAACTATCCCTTTAAATCTTTAATCATTTCACTTTACTTCACTCATATTTTAGAAGCAGACACCAGACATTGTTTTGCAACAAACCCTGAAATGTGAATGAATCTCTTCAAGCTGTTCAAGTGTCAGCAGGTCATTTTTTTTCTTCTGCATTTGGAAACGGTGGATGTACTCGTTCCAGCACGTATGGAGTCATGTTTCCTACATTCCCAAAGACTTTCAGTGGCAGCGGAGACCAGGATCAGATGTAACATCTACAGTTTTGTACAGCTCACAGACTAATGTACATGCAACCTTTTCATAAGAAACATTTACACATGCCGAAAAATAATAATGGTGCCATTCATTGTTTACACTGAGAAAGACAAGATTATAATATTTAATTTAATTCAGTCAGTTTGGGGAAATGGTTTTGCTTCAATATTTTTTAGTGCTTAATAGTTTACCTTTATTCAGTTGTAATTATGAACTGTCAAGAACATCATGTGTTAAAAAGCAACAGATATATGAAAATATAGTAAAGAGCTGATGTGTCAATCTGTCTGCAAACCATTTTAATGCTTAAGTGCATATTTAAAAAGAAAAAGAATTCTAGTGAAGACGTTTTGATCAGGCAGAAAGATAACTTTATTAAGAATATAGTGAATCAATATAAATTGTTTGTTCAAACAAATATAGCATGTTATAATTGCCCTCTTACGAAAGTTCTGTTTATTTTCCCCTGTAGTTGTTTTCCAGTAAAATTTTAGAGGACTATTATTATTATTGAATCTGTCCCAAAAACGCCATTAGAGGTCATTTCTGGGTAAATTTAGAAAGGAGGTAATGGTAATTTGTGTTGTGTGTGTCCATTTCCTGCTCTAATCGCCCCAGTCATCCCAGCTGCATGCTCCCCACAATCCAATTTACCTAATTAATTAGCATTAGTACATGTGTGCAGAATCATACAGGCATTTTCTGTGGTCAGCTGGGGATCATGAACACAGACCCAACACCGGACATCAGATAGAAATGTTTCAACCATTTTCATATGCTTCCTTTGGAGGTCTCAAACCACACAGATTGAGGTTTTGGAGGCATTTCAAGAGCCCCGGGGCCCATAATCTAGCCCTGCCCTGGACGGAAATGTCTGTTAGATCTTAACAGGCGCTTAATAGGTCTGATGTTATGAAGAACCTGCAATTCTGCATCCCACTCAACATGGCTGGAACATGAGCCGTTAATGAACATGCTCCGACAAGTTCAGTGTAGGCGATGTGATGCATTTCCCAATCCCATTCCCATTCATTTATTTTCCTTACTCACTACTATGACAAACATGGGGGGAAAGAAAAAGAAAAGAAATGAAAATGAGCCTAGATTTGGATTCACAAAATAGGGGAACTAATGGTCTAATCACCAATAATTATGGAATAAAAATGTTTGAATTCCACAAAGAACTTTCAGTGATCAGATCCTAAAAGAACCTTTGTGTGTGTGTGTGTAAAGAACGTTCTGTTAATCTAAAGAACCTTTTTCCACTACAAAGTATTGTTTGTGGAATGGAAAGATTCCATCGATTCCAAGATTCTGCATTTTAAAAGTTCTTCAAGGAACCATAGATGGCAAGTATTTTAAGAGTGTGTAGTCGAAAAAGGTTCTTTAGATTGTTAAATTGTTCCTCAGACTAAGAAAATATTTAGTTTTTCACTTAACTGTTCACTGAAAGGTTCTTTGGAGAACCAAAAAGGTTTTTTGGCATAGTTGCAAATTTTTTTTAAGAGTATAACATGCAATGCCTTTTTGAAAGTATTCATACCCCTTAATTTTTTTTTACCTTTTGTTATGTTTCTGCCTTAAAAACTTCTTTAAATTACTTTTTTTCCATATCAATCTACACTCCATACACCATACTGACAAAACAAGAACAGAATTGTCACAACTTCGTAAATTTATTTATTTTTTTAAACTGAAATAAGTACATTGCATAAGTATTCATACCCTTAACAAAATATTTATCTGAAGCACCTTTACAGCCTCAAGTCTTTTTTGTTTGATGCGACAAGCTTTGCTCATTAGCATTTGGCATTTATCTGCCATTCTTCTCCTCACCTCTTCACCTCTCAAGCTCTTTCAGGTTGGAAGGGGGCAGATGCACATTTTCAGGTTCTTAGGGTCATTGTCCTGTTGGAAGGTGAACCTTCTGCCCAGTCTGAGGTTCTGAATGCTCTGGACTGGGTTTTCATTAAGGCTATCTCTATATTTTGCTGCACTGAGCGTTTCTTCTACTCTGACGAGTCCCTCAGTCCCTGCTGCTGAAAAACAGCCCCACAGCATGAGGCTGCTACCAACACACTTTACATCTACAAGCAAAATGAATGCTCCTGAGCTAAATTTCAACTGTCCCAGATATGCAATAACTTATGCAATGGAATCATTTTAGTTTTTATTTTT